GCCGCATCGGCAGTCTCTCTCCACGCGGATGGCAGGCCTACACGCGTGCTCGCTCACACGTGGCGAGTGGCACGGCTGCTCCGTGTGTACACGCCTGTGAGCGTGGGTGGCGACCTTGGCTGGAGCGCAGGAAGCCTTGCTCCCTAGAAGAAAGGTTGTGACCTTCCTGGCCGCAACTTACTTGCTTTGACGCAGTCTCGCTGGCATTGTGCCTTCCTGCCTCACACTCCGCTTGGCCACTCGACGCGCGTCCCTGCGTTCCCCCATGTTTTTGTTCACTGCCCCGTACCAGTGGCTGTGTACTGTTTGTATGCACAGGAATGTGCGATGATGTAAGCGTAGGTGTATAAGAATGCTTAATGGCTGTTTAAATATAGCCAGCCCTTGACTGCACCTCCTGACCTTAGAGGACTTGCTTTCCAGATTTGAAACAATGGACCCCCTCCCCCCCGCCTGCCCGCCCAAGTGTTCCCCTCACTGGACACACACTGGCCCAGCCGATAGGGGATGTCGCAGAGTGTTCTGGCGGCACGTCCAGCTGTCACTGGGACACAGGAAATGATTCTCATCCAAGAGAAATCCTCGCATCGGAGGGCGGGGGGGGGGGGGTCGCGTGGCTTAGCTGTGATGTTATGGGCGCAGGAATGTGGCACCGCAGCCGACCGGCACCAGGTGGATGTGTCTGCGTGCCTAATCCCACTGCCGGAACATCAGCGTGCATGTGTGCGTAGGTGCATCTGTGTGTGTCTGGGTATGTATATGTGTGTATGTGAGCGTCGGGATGGGTGTGTGTGTGTGTGAGAGACTGTGTGTAGGTGGGTGTGGTTGCCAGGTGTTCACGCTCCATCTCTGACCCTGCGGATGGATCACAGTGCAGCTTAACTTGTGTCCTACTTCTTACCCTGTGCCGCCCCCCCCGCCATGCCTCATAAGTCACCAAGCGCATCTGCCTGTGTCTATGAGAAAATGTGTCTGCATGGCTGCCTGCCAGTTGAGACCCGCTCCGGTGAGTGTGTGTGAGTGTGTGTGAGTGTGTGTGAGTGTGTGTGTGTGTGTGTGTGTGTGTGTGTGTGTGTGTGTGT